AATGGAGCAGCTCTGAAAGAACACGGAGCTTCTTTTCAAGCAAATGTCATTGATAATTAACAGCCCAAGAGAAACAACAATGTGGAGAGAAACTCAGGGACAATGGTGGGGAGGCCATGCCAGACGGCAGGGAGGGTCTGTACATGGCAGGCTTTCTGCAGGGGTTCCTCATGGATGCGGGGGCCTTCCCCAGCCCCGACTGCCGCCACGCTGTGGGTAGCAGTGACAGCCCCAGCTGCACTGAGGAGGAGCAGGAAGACGATTTAAATGCTCAGAGGCAGTCAGAGCCGAGGCAGCCCATATTTTTCATTTCAGGCAAACGTAGGCAAGGGAACTTCCCATACTGGAAGTCTGATTTTCTTTTTGACCCTGCAGCTTTCCTCACACACGAAGCACTGGTGGCAGCTGCTACGGGTGGTTTGCATTAGGCACCTACAAGGAGCTGCAGGTAGAGGTTCCTCTCTCATGCCCTCTCCAGTCAGTGCCTCCTGGGCCGTGATATGAGTGGCTTCATCCATCAGCATCAATTTGGATTTTTCCACTTGAGAACATCAGGTAGTGAGGCTTGAATGTTGTTACGCTCCAAGTCAGGGCAGTAGCTGAGATAAAGTGGTAGGTCTCCTTTATGTCAGAAACTCTTATGTTTTTATCAGATCTGGTACATCTACTTTTTCAAGGTAGCTGCTTAATGGAGTGAGGAAGGATTTTCCTTCCTACGTGTCCCTATGTGTGAGGGAACTCTATGTGTCAGCAGGTTCAAGAGAGCAGCACACAAAATGCCCGAGAAGCCATTTGGACAAAAAGTGATGATAACAGGCCTGTGGGCTCTAAGCAAAGAGGGCAGATGAGAAAAGTTGGTTTGCTCATTGGAAGACAGGAGGGCAGGAAGCGATCAAGTAATCTAGATCAATGTGAAAGACAGATGTATGATCTTAAGGCTGCTGAGATGATTTAAACAGAGGCTTGAATGTAAGCCAAGGCTTGAATAGCCAACTTAGAACTAGCTGACAGAAAAGGGAATAGAATTACAGAATAAAATATCTAGCCCTGGGAGTGCCCAGATCATTGTAGACCCCATCTGTGTGGGTGCTTGGAAGCCATTTTTAATGCTTTGTGTAGCTACATAACACTAGTGTAATACTCTCAAGTGATTTTCTGTATAGCACAGGTAAGATCTTGGCCATTTGAGCTAGTTAGGTATTAAAGGCAAAACTGTCAAGTTTACAATGTGAGCCTAGTAGATTAAATGACAGCTGTAATTACTGAGGGCAATTGAAATAACCTGTGATAATTTAAGAAAAGACTAGTTTTAGTTTTCAAACTGGGGCAGGGTAGATGGAGTCTGTGAAAAGATGTGATTATAATAACAGGAAACAAATTAAAACGAGGTCACAGAGGCCAGATGAATTTTGTTACAAATTCTGTGGGCATTGTGAAACCAAGAAGCCTGTCATGTTTGAAGACCTCTGGAAGCAATTATGCCATGTCTTTCTATACTTTGGTCAATGGTCGCAGATGGCTGACTTGTCAGAGATCTTTGATTAACACTGAAGTGGAAAGTGAAGCAGCACATCAAATGAGGCTGGGACTGTCACAGCCTGTGCCTGTATCACATGCTTTCTTCAGTGGTCTGTATGCAACATCAGTTCCTTGCACAGATGAATACTCAGGCCAGTTCCAAGTTAATTTTGCAAACTGAATAGGATATTGTATTGATGCAGCTTCCTGAAGAACTGGCACAAAACCAGACAGTTATACTGTGGATCTGATCCCATATTTACCTTCACAGGTGTAAATCAAATGTTGCTTTTTACAACTCAGTGGAAGTTAGGCCAGTGTGAGAATGATGTGAGAGAAAAATTGGATTTGTTCAGTGCAGCATGGCCGTAAGCCCACTGAAGCAACTGTTTTGAACCAATGAGTGAGGCAGTAAATCTCCTCTGCCACTGCTGCTGGGCATTCCTTTGAGAGTGTGGAGGGCAGGCACAGTCCTTTTACTGTTTGCCTATTGCATTTTGCCATTAAATGGCTTGTGGGTTTTTTGTTGTTGTTGTTTATTTTTTTTTTTTTTTCCTGGAGTGTGTTATGCTCCTGTTGGAAGTGCATGGGCAGACAACGTTTTCCAGTCAAGGTTAGCTGCTGTCTTACCTTATTGGGGAAAAAAACCCTCTTGTAAGCCCCTGCAACCACACGTTGATCTAGTTACTTTATAAGTCAGTTCCCAAAACTCTAACAGCAGAAGGTAGACACAGTTGAGCTCTTTAGCATCACTTACCTGCATCCCGATCACAGCGTAGATGAAGAACAACATCACTATTAAAAGAGCCACGTAGGGGAGCGCCTAGAAATGGAAAAAAAAAAAAAAGAAAAAAAAAAAGAGAGCACTGTGTCTACACCGAGTCCGGCACTGTGGAGCCTGGTTCATGCTCCTGGCTTTGGGAAGCTGGGCAGAGGCTGGCCCCAAATGTGGAGTCTGTAATTTGGCCACGTGGCCACTAGATGCCTCTACAGGCCCACGTTTGCTTGCCCTCCCCACCACCACGCTGCTGCCACCCAGCTCGGCCAGGCTGTGACTCTGCTCCCACTCGTGATGGTGTAGCTCTGCTGCCTTCCAGTCCTGCCTTTGACGGAGTGAGGAAAGCGAGGGCACAAACAGTGTCTACAGCTGCTTACCAAGAGGTGAAAACTCTCATAACCAGTGTTATTCTGGCACTAACGGCAACATGATTTTTTCTGGATCCAGTCTGGCAAAATAAAAAACCCCACAACAGCTGTCGAGATCCAAATTCAAGGCTTCTGCTACAATGGCTAAAGCAGCATCAGCTTTGTTCCCTGTTCAGTGTTAGGTGTCTCGGATGGTGTCTGCAATGCACTAAGTGCCTGTGATCAGCTGCTGAAGAGGAAATGCAGAGCCCTGATATGCAGAGCTGCCTGGTAAGGAGGAGGCCAGTGCAATCAGTAAAGTGATGAGTGCTATCGGTTTCCTCTGCCACTAGCAGGAATCAAGGGCACAGCTCGGGATGTCACAGGCTCAGGCTTTTGAAGAGGAATTTTCTACTCTGTTGCTTTTGAAATACATAGTGCTCAGACCAGAGATTTCCAGACCTTACTTCAGAAGCAATGGGTGGACACATTCATCCTGAAAATGTGAGTACAGTCCCTGATCTGGACTTTGAAGACCCCATTTCACAGAGTACAAAAAGCCTACAACATTTTTTTTTTTTTTAAATACAAAATTATTTACATTTTAAGTTTATGCCTAAATTCAACAAGGCTAAATCCTATAGGAAGAATTGAGGAAAAATTTTCGCTGACCACTATGGAGATATGACTAAGATCTGCAGAAATCATCTCAAAGAGATGTGAATATTAAAATGGCAAAAATTCAAACTTTTAAACAATATCTGTAATCATCATCTTGAGGCTCAGGGGCAGATTGCTCTGTGTTTTATGGGGTCAGACAAATCTGTGTGGTTACCCCACAATGTCAGTGGAGACACACCAGGTCAAAATTTGGCTCCAACCATTTTGTGATGATCTAGTTGGGACTTGATACACACAAGACCTAAGAAGAGATCCTGGGATAGTGTTCAGACAGGACCTGAGGTGCATAACCTTACCAGTTCTTCTGTCTTTCAAATAAGGATGGAAAAAGGGTCTTCTCTCCTGACCATCTGGCCCTCCGCTTTCTTTCCATGTCCTTCTGCTCAGCCTGCTCCTCTCCACTGAGGAAGCTCCTCTCCTTTTCCTACTCGTCTCTGCCCCTTGCTCCCCACAGCTCCTTCAGCTCCCCACCTCCTGAATTCTACTCTCCTGCCTGTGTCCTCCTCCATCTCCATCGCTGGCTTTGTCACTTTGTCCTTGTGATTCCCACGGCCTTGCCTTGCCCTCAGCACCCCTCTCACTTCCTACTCCTCCCAGTCGCCAGCCTGGGCTCTGTTGCTATCTGTGCAGGCGGAAACCCGGTTGAGCATTTTCCCACCGCACACTCCTCTGACCAGCGCCCCAACTTGTATGTAAGCACTGTGCGCCATGCTTGCTATGATGGGATCTGAACTCCAGCGCAAGTTCGTTGCTTATTAGGCTGCCCTGTGTGAGCAGAGACACTTCCTGGAAGCATGTGGGGACACAGAGAAGAGCTGATGCCAGACAAAGTCTGCAGGGATCCCAGATTTTGACAGTGGGAGTGGCTGAGTCAAGAGCTCTGCACAATGGCTATTCTTAGCTACCAAAGGAGCCTCCCAGTAGCTGCAAGAGGAGGAGCTCCGAGCAGAGAACACCATGTTATAAATGACTAAAGGCTTTCAAGGGAAAAAGCACTTGCCTTTTTTTTTTTTTTCCCCTGCTGTGGAAGATACCTCCCTTGATACTTTCTCCCATCACACTACAACCCTGCCTAAAAGTGACTCTCCAGTCAAAGAGGTCTGAAGGTCACTGGAGGGAAGTACCAGGCACTCCCTTTCCCATCCATCTCATTCTCTCCAGCCAAGAACTGTGGCAGTCTGAGCTCAGGATAAGAGCACGCTATTGCTAAAGAGGCTGGAGGGGCACAAGGGCAAGGGGAGGAGAAGCAGGAACTGGAAAGTGTGACTCTGTTCCCTGCATCAGTGATGGCTGAGCTGTGCCAAGGGAACCTCATTCCTATGCATGCAGACAAAATGGTTCCCACTGGAGCCGCTCAAATAACAACCTGGAAGTTAGCAACCATGTAAGCAATGGAAAAAGTGGCTTGTGGTACAGATATGTCAGAAAACTGCTGTGCAATATTAGATCCTCTGGCAGTCAAGGAGTGTGCAAAATGAGAGTCCCTTGCATGAGCCTGGTGGTCTGGCTAGCAAGACCACGTGAGAGCTGCACTGGAAAAGATCCAGATTGATCCCTGGTGGACACATGTGCTACTTCTGCTGGCAGAGACAGAAGCCGTGGTGATCCACAGCACTGCAGGCTTTGGTCCCAGCTTGTGTTGTAGCTGGTGAGGTTTAAGTTTTAAAGTGTGGCTCAGCTCCTTTCCCATTTGAGTCAATACAAATGCTATCGACCATTTAAAGTCTCAATCTAAGGGATATACGGTTGCTGTTTTGAGACTTGTGTGTCTCACAAGTTACTGTTTCATGCTTTTGCCCAGTGGTGTGTCCTGCATCTTTTCTCATGTTCAGACCACCATTTGTATTCCTCTGCTGTCTTGCCCTGATGCTTCCTCCTGACCTGCCCCAGCCAGGTTGTGCTGGCCCAGTAAATCCTGGTCAAGTACTTGTAAACTGTGGGAACATGCTATGCTTAATCTCTACCTACCATTTTTATATAGGTAGCTAGGTCAGGGGCTGGTTTGGAAGTAGTTTTTCTAGCAAATACCTATCTCTTGGCATTTGTTTTCCACCAGAGTTGATGATTCTTATCCAGCCTGGTCTCCTTCCCCTTCCCCTGTCTACTCTGGTACTTTACCTACCACTGAAATGCAGCCTGCCTTCAGGGCAAAAGCGGCGGCAGTTTAATAACTTAGCATTGTTACCAGGGACAAAGATGTGGAGCCAAAAAGGTGAAATTCTTCCTGGATGAAAGCATGGGGGCCACACACCTCTAATACTCACTGGTAATCCTCAAAACAAGGCTTAAGGAAAACTTAATTGAGACCCAGGCCTTCCCCATAGCCGTGTCTTTCCCTTAAAGCAACAGATACAGAATACAGCTAAAATAGAAATAAAAAAAGAGAGAGGAGCTTGAAGGGTTACAGACAGGCAGTAATTAAGTTGAACTGAACTATCAAGGCTGTCCAGGAAGGTCTCAAGTAATTACTCATGCTTTAAAGATGAAACTCATACCCAAGCAGTCATCCCCCGTGAGCCTTGTTTACTTGACTCTTATTTGTGCCGTGTTTCACTGGCACACACAGCTCTGACCAGCAGCTTTTGAGCTCAGGCACTTGGGTGAAACCCTTCCCTGAGTGGCCACCAAAGGGAAATAAAAGGGAGTTAGATCTTACTTAGAGATAAGTGAAGGAGTACCTGGAAGGACTTGATGAAGGTCCAAAGCAGCGTCCGGATGCCCTCCCCTCGGCTCAGGAGCTTCACGAGACGCATCACGCGGAAGAGTCGGAAGAAGGTGATTGAGATGCGAGAGTTTTCCTCTGCGTTCTGGAAGCCATTGGCACAGAGGCAGGAGTTACAACAGCACGGGAGGAACAGGGGCCCTGGGCCACAGAGGACGCTACGCCAAGAGCTCACTGCACTGTTCCTTGTCCTGGTACCGCTCCCTCAGCTTGCACTGCCCCGGCACCCCAGGGACGGGCCAAGGCCGGTCAAGCCTACCATCTCTCCCATGGTGGTGAGGCTATTCTACAGGGGCCGTCAGCCTCTCCCTTCAGGTTGCCTGGACTTTTGGGGATTAGCGATATATCATGCTATAAACCTCTCCATCACGTCCTCTCCTCACACTGGAAAGATGCAATTCTCCTTTGACATTGTACTAGGAGAGAAAGATACTTTCTCTTTTGACCTGTCTTGGGTGTTTTACCCCAGCAAACGCCTCAGCCAGCAGTTCTGCTGAATCTGGTGCTGGGCATCAGCCATGTGCCGCTTGCTCTGCTGGGAAACAGTAGCAGGTCCCAGGGCTGCTCGAGGGTGTGAAACCCTGTGGGGGCATGTCGTGCACCCTGCCCAGCTGCTGGCGTCACTGGCACCACTGGCAGCCTCGCTGTCCCTGTGCTGCTGTGGCCATGCTTCTGGGGGCTGGGCCGTGGTCGCTTGCTCCTGCTGCTCTGTGTTCGGGCCTTTCGCATTTCTCATGACCCTTTTGTGTTTCCCACAGTCTGCACACTGACTTGTGGTTTTTTAAAAACATTTTATTTTGGCTTCACTGCTACTGTTCAAGCGTGCAGTATTTTAAAATAGTCTTTCTTCTGGCCTGTTTTTTTTTCTCACAGCATCTGCTTTGTCCCTGAGCATTTTCCCCTGGGCCTATAACCAGCCCTGACGTTCCTCAGCCTTCACACGTGTGAAGGCAACGTCTGTCTGAGTGCTGCTGCGGAGGCAGGCTCACCTGGGCCCCGGCGGAGGACCCGCTGCCTAGCTCGAGGGGAGGCGAGGCACAGAAAAAGCCATGTTTCCCAGTTTGTTAACCCCCTAAAATACCACGTGAAGCCTGTGGAGCTGGTGGTTACCACTAGCAGCACTGTGGGAATGTGACCTCCTGTCACAGGGGGAGATAACACTGTCACCCTGCCACTTGACCTGCCATGGAGCAAAGAAGTGCACAGAAACCCCCTCTCTGTCCCCACCCAGGCTGCAAAGACTGCAGTTTGAGTCTAAACACCAACAGAAGAGTATCATTTAGGAGGAAGAAACAGTGCAGATCACCCCCGCTGTTAACTACTCACCACTGTGTAAACCAAGAGAGAACAGACCCTTTAGATTTCCTGTCACCGGGCAGCGAAAACAGCAGCTGCTTGCCTGTCTGCTCCTGATAAAACCCAAGGCACGGGAACCGCCCGGACATAGGTTTCTGGGATTAAACGTCCAGATGAGGATATGTACCTGTGCACTGCGTGTACTCCTGTTTCCAACCCAGGATGAGCGGACTGGTGCCCAGCGCTGTGGGCTGCTGTGCAGCTGTGGGGGCACACAGGGGCTATAGGTGCTTGCTGGTGTGTGTGAACCCTGCTTGCACAGAAATCACAGCGCTTTGTGCAATTGTTCAGGATTGCACCCCAGCTGCAGTTTGTCTGTCTGTCTGTGGCGAATCACCTGTGGATATTTTGGATGGCTTCCTCCAGTCTGCAGCAAAGGCTGACCGCTTGCTGCCCATGCAGTAACCAGGTGAAAAAGGTGAGGGGAACAGGCTGTGTCAAGGAAAAGCCTGAGTGCTCACGTCATTCTCATTTTCTGACTTGGACACCAGGCTGGGGGCTTTAGGGCATTGCTCTGAGGTGAATGAGGGAATGTGGCCTCCAACAAATCAAAAATCATGGCGTTTAATACTCTCAGCACTACAGTCCCGGAGGGCTAACTATAAGGTCACACACCTCTCCCAATCCTGAAGAAGCCCTATGGCCTCCCTTCCACTTCCTTTAAGAAGCTAAACTCCAATACCACCTAAAAGATGGTTGAGGTCCAAATTTAAAAGTTGTGTGGACAGCAGTATTGCTGTGGTTGTGACTTAAAAAAAAGTGTTTCTTATTCTATCTGCTGCTGCTCTTGTCAGCTTGGCCCTTTGGATGGCAGCAAGTTGGGACAGGGTTCTGGACAGAGGTTTTAGCATTCCTTCGTCTTTCCTTTCTGAGAGGAGTCAGCTGCTGCAGGTAGAAAATTACCCCTGTCCTCCAAGGGTCCTGGAGTAGGCAAAGTCTAAGCAGTGGATAAAATAGAACAAATTCCTCCCTGACACAAATCTGCAATTTACTGTCATCAAACTACTTGGCCAAAAACACTCAGTGATGCCTTGGGAGATTTTGGTCATTGTAAGACTAGGTGGCTAAGTGCTTGAGTAGCCTTGCTTGCTTTCTCCTGGCTTTCATCCAGCTTTTTGAAGGCATATCCTTGCCAGAGGAGGGAGGTTCTGCAAAGTGGCAATCAAGAGACCGAAATTACTGCAGCTCTGTTGGGGTGGTGTGGGAACTGCCTTGTACATTGAGGCAGCAGAGTTTGAGTGCACCATTGCACGACTTACTCTTTTTTGTGCAATTACAGTGAATCACCTCATTGAAGAGGAACTTCAGTCACAGTCCTTTCTAGTCTGGAGTGTTGGACATGAAGTCACACTGTAAACTTACTCAGCGTCACATTGATAGTGACATAGTTGCTAACAAGAAACCTTACCAGGTCTAGTTCTCTCTTGGCGATTCATTAGAAGGCAGAACGACAGTTAACTTGACCAAAGGAAAGCTCAGGATGCACAAGAAATACACATGTGCAGCATATTCACAGCTCATGTGAACACCAGACTCACACCAATACACGACATGGCAGCTTCATGCACAAATAACTAGGCTGGGCTTGGAGAGAGAACTTGTGATCACGGAGAAGAGAATAAATTTTTAGTGTCACAGAAGCTGGGAGGGTGGTCTGTATTTTCGGTCTTACCATAGAGGAAGAGCATTGGGTATGTTCAGCTGGCTTTAAAGAAAGGCAGACAGAAATAAGCTGTAATAAGTCTTCAATCAAGAGCCCTGGTAAACTAGGTCTCGGCTAACACAGGAGCAACAAAATGGCAGAAGAGGGCAAAAGGGAGTTTGAAATAAATGCACAAGAGGCTGGGCTTATTCCCTAGGATGCCCAGGATCAAAGCTGGCCATGGCAGAAGTAGGTACAACTCTCACTGAATTTGATGTAAGCTGTACCCACTACCACCGCCTGTGATTTGCACCAAGTATCTCCTGAGTGCTAGATATCCTGGCATCCAGGCAGAGGAGGTGCTGATGTTGTTAGAATGTTTCTGGTATCACTTCTATCAAGTTCAATACAGGGGCTGATTTAGCTCCCCAATTCAGATCCAGGCCATGTCTGCACAGGGACCAGCCAGCTTCTAGTGCATCAGTCCGATTTGTAAACCCGTAATATCCCAGTGGCAAAGAAACACTTTCTGTTTATATATCCCCATTCAATTACACGTAGTTCTGGGTGATAACATTGTTGGTACTAAGACAATGGGTTGGGACTGTCTAATCAGCTCTTGACAACCCTACAATACCCACCGCCAGCTGTGGAATGTGGGTTGGTAAAGCTGGTTAGCTTGCTGTACCTTCACCCACGTCACAGCAAAGCTCCAGGCACGGAATGGATGTGTCCTTGGAAGCCAGGCTGAGCTGAGCCCTGGTCATGACCAGAAGGATCTAGTTGCTGCAAACACTCTGCCTCACATTCCTTGATTAACATCTGGGGCCGTTTCCAATACTGAGAGCAATTCTAAAAACCACACAAGGCTGCGAATACCCTTAGGTGTAAGAAGCAGTATTGAAAATTAAATAAAATCACCTTTATCGGGAGTCCTTCAGTTCAATAGTAGCATAATCCTTCAGGCCTAACCGCTACCATATGCCAAACCTGTCTGTCATTACTTCCTGCAACTACATTAGTGAAGCTGAAACTGATGTGTTCTTGTGCCAATGGCAGAATTCACCTCTAGTGCCATGGAGGACTTCTGCAGTGTGCTCCTGCTCTCCAAAGACACTGCAGAAACCAAACTGGCATTGTATCACCTAAATAAAAACTATAGTTTTTGCCTGTTAGGTGATATAGGCAAATGAGAATAATTAAAAACACCAGGTACACCTGATCACATAACAGTCTTTTGGGTTAATTCATTGGTTTGATAGTGTCAGCTCTCATTGCTTTTATCCTCCTCTTTCATGTTTGCTTTTGTGTTTTCTTTTCAGATCACATACAGGCAAAACCTGGCTTGAATACTAAATAAAGGAGTGGTGCCCATAGAGACATTTCTTACAGATCAGGCAGATTTTGATTTTGTGTTGCTGGGCAAACATCTTTCCAGAAAAGAATTTCTCCATCTCATCCCCCTTCCTCTTCACAGTTTTGCAAATCATCTTTTCAAACAATAGAAGGACCGTTATTTTGCTAGTTTCTGCATTCCTGGTAGAAGTTACAAAGCCCCTTCAAATTAACTGATGGAAGCCCAAAAATTTTCAGCACCATAAAGGATTCTCCATCCTTCCTGGCTGACAGTGTTGGTTCAACTGGCTGAAGAAGCCTTGCAAGTTACTGTGGAATATTACACCTCAATCATAATTTTGATAGTGTTAATATTTCATCAGAAAGTACAGATAATAGTAATGTAGCAGAGTAAAAAAATCTGTGCAAAAGGATATGACTATATAAGGCACTGTTGATATGGGATACTCAACTTGGAGGAGTTGGCATCACATTGGAAACCAAGAAACCAAAAGTTCTGAGTATCTTTGGCACAGCTAAGAAAGTGAAGTGGAGGTTGATGTTCTGCGCTCTCATTCCCTGAGCTAGCTGGCCTGTGTTTTAAGATGAGATCAAATATATATCAAATTATATCACTACCTATAGTAAAGGCTCAAAAGCAGCATGGGAAATTTTCTGTTAATGTTGGCAGGGGGTACTTGTACAAACTGTGGCATTGTGGGCTGAGGTTCGCGATATGCTTGTGCATACAGTATTTTGTGCGTGAATACGTGAGGGGGAAATCAACCCCCAGCTGTGGGTTGCTAAATAAATTTTCTGATATCCACAAAGGTTTCAGAGAGGAGCCAAGTACTACCATTTTCCACCTGTGCCAAAAAGTCACCGTATGGACCTGAGCACAGATCTCTGAGAACCTGTTACTGGGACTTTCAAGTGTGGCCATTCCTAACTATAAAGCCGAGAGAGCTATTGCTGGATTTTCTGAGAATCTGCAACCTTGCAGGTGATGTGGGTACACTGATTTTAGGACAAGGACAGGCACCTGGCACCTGAGAGCATAGTAGTCACATCAGTTCACAGGGATGGAGGCATGGTGATAGGTACTTGGAATTAAAGCCAGTGTCTAATGCCCATCTGAAGTGGACAGGATTTAATTTGTACAAATCTCAAAACAATGTACAAAAGCAAATCCTCATCTGTTTAATGACTTTGAAAGAGCTTTGGAGAAGCTACACCACTTAACAGAGGGTGGCTTTGGCTGTACTGCTTTACTTGCAGCCCTCTCTTTTCCTGCATGTGGAACTTTGAGTATTCTACCCTGCTCTTGTCATTTGGGGCACAAGTAGCATGCACGTAACCGCATGAGAAAGGGCAACAACAACAACAACAGCGGTATCACTCAAGAGATGGTGCTGTGCGTAATTTCCATCATGGAGAAAAGGGACCTGAAGTATAAATCACAAACAAGTCCAGGGACATACTAAGAGTGAGGTAGAAGGGAATCCACAGGCTAAGAGTGGGAAGAGAAATATCTAAGGCAGGATGCATCTGTGTAAAGACCCTCAATGGGGATGAGTGCCACTTGGGGCAATAGAATGCTAAGGAGCAGATGAGGTCAAGAAACAGAAAAGCAGATTCTGCTTTTCAAAGCAAAGATTCAGTAGGATAAAGACTGAGGGATCCCTGAAGCATGTCTGAAAGCTCCTCAGAATATTGTTGCCTGCATATATCTCGTTTTAACTATGTCCAATGTGTACTAGAGCACCAACATTTTTAAGAGACATGTTGCTCGAGCCGCTGCTAACCCGTGTACATCCCTAAAGCCCCTAGAGGCACAAAAGCGAAAGGCACAGCTTATGCCTATCGTGAATTCAGGATACCAGGTAAGAAAGTCGCTGGGAAAGTAGATGGGTTTATTCAATGGAGAGATACTTACAATCTCAGAGACCACAGCACTGTATAAGGTCACTGATAGTACTGTCTTCCTGCTAATCGAGCTCCATCTGGGTAGGTGGGAGTAAGGCTTACTGGCAGCCATTTGCAAAAAGCGTACAACATGCAGATGGGTACAGGGAGAATCAGAGTCTCCTGAACCTCCGTAGTGACTCACATATAAAATTTGAAGTGTCTGATCTTGCCATCAAGTCAAGGAAATAGCTTTTAACAGGTTATGTTTATGGGTTTCCAAATCCTGATTATAGCATTAATGCTTTAGAAGCCAGGAGAGAATAAAATTTGCACTCTAGGAGAATCAGTTTCAGTGTTTCAAGGGCAATACGTAACAGTCAATATCATACAATGCTTTTGATGTAGTATAATCCATTCTGAAATTTTGAGAAGGGATGACTTACGTCTTCAGAACTGTAAAGACAGAAGCAAAAATATGAGCAAAAAGACTAAAGACTTTGTACCATCATGGTAGTATCAAAGCCCCCTGAAATAGTGATGGCTAAAAATATCTTCTGGAGAGATAAAGATTTGGAGGAAAACAGTAAGGTGTGTTAATAAATAGATTAAAAAAAAACTTTCAGTAGAAAAATCTTGAGAAGAGATATCAATCCCACCTCACCTCTGTGGAACACTGGGGATGGAGAACCATGTTGAGAGGTTTGAGTTCCCTGGGGTTTTTCCCTGGGGTTTTTGGATGGTTTGCCAACAGCTATAATAGCTATCCAGAGAAGCAGTACCTAGAAATGCCTGAAGAGGAGCTCCGTCAGGTTTGTACAGCATCTATTTAATCAGTATGTCCAAGGATGTTCCTTGACTGCTGGATAAGTATATTTCAGTAGTTGTAGAAGCCTAACTGCCACTGAGATGACAGTACAGGCAGGTGGCATTCCCCTTACCAGCACTGTTGATGGTAATAATTTTTTTACACCACAGGACACACCGAAGATGATGAGTTCAGCTCCTTCAGAGGATCCAGTCTTTGCTAGCAAGTCCAAACTGACTTCTTCCTGACATTTGAGGAGTAAAACTTCCTTGCGGATAGTGTTTTACTTTCCAACAAGACTTCTTTCATTCATAGGGGAGAATCTATTTTTGCAAGACAGAATCCAGCCTTTATGTTGTGGAGAACTTTGGTCTAGTTTGATCTGGGGAACATTTAAGCAGCTGAAGGCACAGTGCTATTGTTGCTGTGTTAGGCAGAGTTGTCTCAGTCAATGCAGTGGTGCAATGGCAGCCTGCCAATTCTGCCTGGTAGCCCCAGGTTTGAAGCGATGAGAGGAAATCTGTGTTTGAGACTTTGGCGCCATAATATGACAGAGTATCTTCATCATTCTTAAGAAAACAAATGGTCAGACGCTCATGTTCCCTTTTGTGACAAACAATCTATAATCGCATTTCTCCACTGAGGAAAATAGCGCTTGTGCATGAAGCTCTTAGGAGTAGTTGGTAGTTGGTGCTGTTTCCTTGATTGCTGTTGACATTTGGAATATGAAAAGTTACCCACGAACATGCCTTATCTGTTGGAAACTTGTCCATTGGTCTGTTAGCCTTCCCCTGTGAGGAAGAGGGTGATACATGTTCACTTCTTGCTATGTATCTCCTTTGCAGTTCCAGGATACTGGTATTTTCTAGCTCAAGTTCTTTGTATCTAGAGGCCCTCCGAGAGTCCTGCCTACTTTAGCCATACTGCATCTGTGACCTTCTTGGACACAAATCGAAGGGTGGAAAGAGACATTCTGGGAAACGAACTCATTGTACAAACCTAGATAAGATTTTGA